TTGAAAATGGTTATTTTGTATTATGCATCTCATTAGATATTTCAATTATGAATTTCAATTATGTTTATCAATTAAAAACCTGACAACATACCATCAATTTATGTGTGTGTGTATATATATATATACTTGATTGCAGAAACGTTGTAGTATACATTTACATAAAAATCTAATGAGATGAATAATACAAAATAACCATTTTCAACGCTTAAAACCAACTGATGTATAATCTGTACGACCTAATAGAGAAGAAAAAAATATTTTGACAGTAATTGAATGAAACAAACAATAAATAAAGCCATTTTTCAGTTTTGTATATCAGTAAATATACTGAATAAATTAGATATTTGTATAAATGTATACTACAACGTGTCTGCAATCGAGTATATATATATATACACACACACATAAATTGATGGTATGTTGTCAGGTTTTTAATTGATAAACATAATTGAAATTCACTAAGCAAGGTCTACAAAAAAATGCCTATTTTTACCTCATTTCTAGACCAACGTCGTATTGGTAATGATGATAAGATCATTACTCCCGGATGAAATATGTAGTTGCGTTGCCAATATTAGGAATAGGGCACACCCGTGAACCACAATCTAATATTCATTTACAGTGCTCCAGCTAAGAGCCAACATGGTCTACTAGCGTGCAGGCCATCTTGTCGAGCTTTAATTTCCATTAAATTTTTCGTGACGAAGTCMAAAATCTTCATCTATATAACACAAATATTTCATTTATAAATGAAGTTCGTCAAAAGTGAATACATTTTTGTCAGTACAGTTCTGATAATATGGATTTTCTTTCTGCTGCATCGCGTGGGTAAGTTGATTCTTTGTCTGCTCAAAGGCACAAACCAGTTTCGTTTTCGATCGATAGTTGTTATTTACTTAAAGATTTTTTTAAAATGTTATTGTAATACGTATAGAAATATAATATATAACGGGTTTGTAAATCCCTTAAATAATAAATATAAAAAATGGAATATATATCCAAATATTCAAATACTCAAACTACTGGATACCATAGTATATACATTGGCTGACCAATGAATTAAAATAATTCAAAACGAGCAAGCAACAACCTTCCATTAGTAAGTACCGTTTTTCATAAGCAAATAACAAAAACAAAACAAAACAAAACAAAAACAAAAACAGGAGAATTTATTTTATCAGGTTAAAAGCACCGAGGCTTAACAAGTTTATTGAATAACCCTTTGGTCAAATTAGAGCAACCATCGCAACCATACACGCCGCGATACTTCCATTGAGGTCTGCACGCCACTGTCATGCGCAGTCAGTTCGAAAAGGCAATCAACAACACGTCAAAACGCAAGTCGAGGGGATTTAGTGGTCGCCGGTGATTGTACATGTCTTTATCTAATCTTGGATACACCTTTATTTCTGATAAAGCGGTTTACTCTCATTATTATTATTAATATAAAGATTAGTGTTGAAAAATACTTTATTGGGTATATAAAGGCCCATGAAATTGAAGAATATGGTCGCTGCAATTGTATCAAAGGTTTGTGAGATATTAGTTTTT